CTTTCAACTATTTTCCAACGAATATGTCTGAAAAGATTAGTAACAAATACTTATGTATTATGCATTTATACAACACCAAGATAAATAGATTATCGAATTCGGACGAATAGACTGCGGCAAATTTTTTTAGGGTGTCTCAGAATTTATGAAAACAGTTGTAAAATTTATTATTCAGGTGAGGTTTCGAGTGAGGTTTCTAGTTTCAGATAAGGTTTCAGAAGTTATAATCTGAAGCCCGAAATATCAGATTTGGCACAAAAGGGTTTTGGCAACAACTTCGGAGAGAATAAGCAAATAAATTATAAATGGTTTGCCAGTTTCGGGGTTTCGGTTGAGGTTTCGGGTTTCAGTTGAGGTTTCGAGCTTCGGATAAGGTTTTGGAAGCTATAATCCAAACCCTGAAACTTTCGGAATTGCCAAAAAAGGTTTTGGCGCCATCATTGAGTCTGACCTCTCTAAATGCATAGCCATGGGCAGCCAAAAAAATTGCATTTAGAGAGGTATTGCATTTTAGGAGGTAAAAATGGAGTAGACTATGCATTTAGGGAATATGCATTTAAAGAGTCCTGACTGTATTAAATTTCGTAGGAAAAACTTTTTGTTAGTACACAGAAAGCAGTTTAATAAAAATTATGAAACTTTGTCTAGTTTTTCTTTTTAATTTCTTTCAAATTACATCTTGTCTTTTAATAGTGATTTAAGCTATGAGGTTTTAGTCGGCTTGCTCAGCCATTTGACTAAATATCTGCTAATCAGATGGCTAACAGCTCACTAATATGTCATTTCAGGAAAATTTGGTGAATTTTCCAAAAACTTAGCTCGACTCATTTTCCTTTTCGGAATTTACCAGAATCACACTATATGCCAAGTCATGTGATCTAGTCACATTAGTGTCACGGGTCCTGTGACATAAGCCGTTTAGGGCTTAGACAAAATATTTTAAAATTTTATTGTTTTCTTTATTTTGTTGTATTTCTTTTATTATTTTTTATTTGTAAGCTATGTATCAAGCAATAGTCTATCTTGACGTTAAAACATTTTTGGAATTGACACTCGCAAAAATTTAAGTGATCTAATGTGATGTGATAACCATTCATGAAGATACTGTATATCCTACCCAAATTAAACCCTAATTCTGCCAAAATTTATATCGTAATTTTGCCCAAATTTATTATCAAATTCTGCCCAAATAAATTCTAATTTATATCTTAATTTTGCCAAATTTACGTTCTATTCTAAAATTATTCTTTTGAATTGTTCTAAAAATTTTACAAGAAAATTCAGAAATTTATTTTAATAGATAATGAAAAAGATATTATTAGATAAGAAAATTGGTGTGATTAAAAGCAATTAAAGTGGATGAAGCCTTTAGTAATGTGGTAATTAATTAGAATACTGTAGTTTTTTAATGTAAAATAAAAATAGAAAGTTTTGAATTCTTTTTGTAAAATTGTAAGCCATAAAATCTCTTGTATCATTAAAATGTTTTCAAATGCTTTTTTTAATTGATCTGGAGGTGTATCAGAGTTGTGAAGAACTCTATTTACCTTTTTTATATTTGCATCTTTTTGAACTATTATTGAATTTAAATAAGCTAATTACTGTTGTTATATTATTTAAATTCTCTCTCTTTTTATTTTTTTATATTTTATTTCTTAATACTTCCATTTGAATCAGGAATAGAGTTTAATAATATAATAGTATAATCTAATTTTATAAGATATTTAAATAACAAATAAAAATAAAAATTATTATAATGCAACTATGTTCAAATAAAGTTATTTATTTTGAACTTCAGACATTTCTTCAGATAATGTAAAATTATATTGTGAAGTCACATAGTTTGAAATTCTAATTGACTTAGAAATAACTCCACTTAATATTCTACCTGATGAATATGCAAGTAGATGTGATTTATTTTTTATTTTTTTGATTGAAAATTGGTGAAATTGAAATAGTATTATTGGAATTTCCATTTTTATAGATATTTATAAGTTCATAATTAGCGAATTCACAAAGCTCTTCAATAGTTGGTCTTTTAAGTGGATCAGCATTCTAGCATTTTTGCATTATTTCTGCAAAGCATGTAGGGATATTTT